CAATGGTTTCACTGTGAGTTATGCATAGACCCAGTTGAGAAGATGCTGTCCTATTAGCTAAGATTTTATGTGGAGTTTTAACTGCTTACTCTGAGGGACAGAACAAAATCTATCCTGTCTAAAGCCTGTAAATTACCATTCCATGGCTTAGGTTGGAGAACCTTTGTTAAACTGTGCTTAGTCAGAAAACTGATTCTGTCTAAATGCTCTCTGGGCTGTTGTATTTATTGCTTCTCAAGGACTTCCAGATCAGGCTGCTTAGTTGGAAAAAAATCAAAACATACTTTTTGCGTTGGCTTCCTAGAGTTGGACCTTGAAAACCCAGCTTTCTTTTTTTGTCTTCTATCCTTGCAACAAGCAATTAAGAGCTTTCAGTTAGATGATGGTAGACAAAGTTATTGAGGCAAAATTCATAGTACATTATGTCCCCTTTTCACCTGTATCAACTTGATATTTTAGCTATATTTATTAAAAAAAAAAAATCCACCTCCCTAATTTAGTGAGTGGACAAAGTAAATGAGAAACAATGGCACATGGGAATTGTTATGATAAATGAGATGGTATGTTCAAAGCAATGTGAGGACTCACCAGTTGAGTAGGGAAAAACTCCCATCAATCTATTTTTTTCCATCTCTTTCCTTGGGACTTGTTTTGTTTCTAAAACAAATAGCCTCAAAATAAAAGAAAAAAACCACACCCTTCAGACTGCTGGGGTAATTAGCATGCAAGATTTTTCCATTTTCAGCCAACAAGAAGTTGTTATCTCCTGTATACTATCTTCTGTCTTGCCTTTTACAGCTCTTCTAGATCAGCTACACTGGATACAGAAATCCAGATGTAGGTACTGGAGCACTTAATGCTAAGCTCTTATTGGTAGCAGAACACTAGCAGGTTTAAGATATTGCAGCTCTTAGCTGTCTGCCCAACCCTCTCTGTTTGACCTGGCCAACCCAAAACAGATATAGTGGGGAGAGGGTCGTGTATGCTCCTTAATCACTACAGAAAAATATCCGGTGATGTAGTTCCCAAAACTTATGAAAGCAGAGTTCAGCTGCAATACCTGATTTTGCCCATGCAGGATTTTTTCTCTGTGATGGTTTGTTTAGCCTATTTTTAATTCCACAAAAGGTGAGGGTTTTCACCACTTCCCAAGGAAAGCTATTTGAGAGTCCAGTGGAGCCCCATAGAACTTTCAAGTGCACAACAGGCTCATCTTGAAATGTAATGTAACCTTCATGATGTTGGCTGGTAAGTCAAAAAGTGCTGTAGGCATCTGGGTTGCAGTTATTGGTGAGCAGTGCTCACAGGGTGCGGTTGCTTGCTAGTTGCTCTGCACATGAACAGCTCTTATCTCTGAAGGCTGCACTGCAATGGTTGTTCAGGCTTAAGCAGCTTTTTATTAGCAAGGGGAGGGAAAAGTTACCACTTTAGGAATCAGACAACCCAGAACCATCTCTGCAGCACAGAGGAAAACATCCCTCTCTGTTCACACTCCTCTAATTACATTTAGTGTAGTATTGTTTCCATCTAAATTATAGCAATTATATACAAAGATCTTCTTTGAAGTAATTTAATTAAAGAGTAGCTAATGCTCTGTGCTTTTGGAATGCTAATATATTGCCTTCCACTTAGGAAACCTTGTTTTTTCCATTAATTATCATTATCATGGAGAATTTCAATGGCAGACAAGTTTTTTTAGCTTGTTTTAATAGATTTAAAATGCAAGTGGTTCTGGCAATTTTTATAGCTTGTAAAGGACAAAGAAGCCTTTTGCCCTCTTGCTGGACACTTAGGTAAGGGTCCATCTGAGGAACATTTTCCTTGCGATATGTTGGCTGTCAAAGTGTTGGATTTCTCCAGCCCTGTTGTCTTCTGAGTTCAGGCAAGTGTTTGTGTTTGATTACGTTGTCCTCTCCTCTTGCTGTTTTCTGTGTAATAAACACCCAGGTCAAATCCTGAACTGGTATAAATCTACTGAACTAAATAATTTCTGCCTGCTGAGTTGCTGCTTTGTGGGAATGACATTTCAGTCATGCATCACATCATGGACAAACAAGATTCATGGGAGAGCTGCCCAGCTGTGCAATAATGCCATGACAAGACATGCACTCTGTGAGAATAAGTGCTGAAAGCAACTGTGGCATAAGAACTGATGGGATTTACCCATTGCCAAGGGAAAGTGGGGAGGGGAACTGGAGTTAGAACTCCTTCTTAAGTACAGTTTCAGAGGCCTTCTGCCCTTCCCCCTCTGTGATATTTCCTATTCCTCCTTTCTCCCTCATTCTCCAAACAAGTGGCCTGACACCCCATATTGCTGTGATTTCCATGTCTTGATTGTGGTCCAGGGTGTGCCTTCTGAGTTGAGGAACAGGAATTAGTTTCTTCTGTAGCTTTCCCTGAATGCAGTGGTGTTTTCTATGGCTAATACCCCATAATTAGGACGACACTAAAGAATTTTCTGAAGACCCAGCAACAATCTACCTAATAAATCCATTCCTGCACACAAGTGCTTCCCCACCTACTAATTTCTAACCTGTGTTAGAAAGCTGTCCACAGCAAACCCACAACTCCAGGCTCTCCGATCTCCTCCACTCCCTTTTCTCTCCCTGATACCCACGAGGGTCTAAATGGGAGAACATGACTGATTCCTGGATGGTCTCTGTTTTATGAAAAATAGCACAATGCAAAGGCATTTTGGTGCAGACTACAGTCTACAACAATAGTCTGGGCAGTGAGGGGAGAGCAAAGCTGCAGAGCCAACAACCCTGTGTGATTACAGTGTAAATTAAGATGACCTAAAGTAAAGAATGGCAGCACACTAGGGACCCAGCAGGATCTGGATTGCAGTCAGTGCTTGGAAACTCAACAAAAGTTTTCCCTTTTGTTTCTTTTCTGTTTTCATAGGGAAATTTGTAAATCATCTCTCTCTCTCCCTCTTTTAGTCTGGAATAATGAAAAAACCAGAATCTTTAATCTCATAAGTGACTTGGGTAAAAACGTAGGTTAGTGGAAGATTTGGCATAGGGAAAAAAAAAGCATTATTTCTCTGCCCTCCAAATCTTGCAGTAAGGGTGATACAATGACATTTGCTGCCTCATGAGTGTCAGAAAAGATTGGGGGTTAGTACATAGAGAATTTTTAAAATCCGGAACTGGTATTTTAGATTAGTTTTTTAGGTTCTTTTATGTGTTCATTTAAGATTAAGAGAAAATAAGATTTGTCATTATAACATGCCAGCAATTTGATTGTTGGCTTTTTTTTTGTTGTTTTTGTGTACTGAGATGTTCCCCCTGCCAATGAGAAGCTGTAGTTTTGTTAATGGCTTCTAATGTTTGGTCACCTGTGTCCCTGCCCTAATCTCCTGCTATTATACACCCCTTTGGAAATCCAGCTGCAGCTGATTGAAAAGCTGCTGCTTACTGTGAAAATCACAGCTGGCCAAGGGAATAGGAAGCTGTTACTTGATCAAAAACTCAACACCTTGCCGAACTCATACAATGTTTCTGGATGGATGGAGTATTTTGTCTGGGTTCCTGGTGTTATTTATTAATCAAACCATGGTTTTCCTTTGATTTTGCTTACTTTGGTGAAGGTGCAAGCTTCCAACATGTAGAGTCCCTTAGTATTTGTGGTGATGGTGCTTTGGTGACGTATACCATCAGTGCTCATTGTTGCTTTGGTGCTTCCCTTCCAGACACTTAAGCATTCACATAGCTTTCCCTGTGGCTGAAGGAGTGCCATCTAGTTAGCATGGCATTTAGAGAGACCTGTGTTCAACAATCAGCTCTGCTTCCAATGTTCTGCTCCAGGTTTGGGAAGAAGCCTCTGGTGCTATTCAATTTTATATGATCTCTTTCATCATCCTGTTAGTAACAGATCTGTGCCTCAATTTTAACAGTCTGAGTCCTTCTCCCACTATTTTTTGCGTGCTGACCCCTCAGCTCCAGCTGCTCCCATATACTGCCTTACTCAGTACAAGCCTTGTGTTGTCCTGGAATTGTGTGGGAAAATGTGTCGTTTTAATCCTGAAAATCAACTTATTACTTAGCGAGGTGAACCATGGAGTGTGATCAGTGAATGCTGGTGATCAGTGACCTACTCAAAAGACTTAAGGAAAAACTACTGATAACCTTACAGTGGTGATCACTTATAATTCCACTTCTACTAGCCACAGTCAGCATTCACCAGGTGGAAGGGAGGCTGCTATCTTGGCAGGTCGCTTGCCTACAGTTCATATCCCAAATATGTTATTTCAGATGTTTCTTTTACAATTCATTAAGTAGTAAGTTTGTGCAATGTGAAAGTTCAGCAGTAAAGAAACTGAGTCAGCTAAGAAAGGCTTGATTTTGAGACAGCCAAACCCATATATTCATGAGAATAGCTCCCATTACATCAGACACATTGCTTTCTACTCTGATTGTTTATGGTTCTGAGTGATACACCTGGCTGTCTGTATTAGACTTGGGGCCCATTGTACTAGAAGCATGGAAGACTTTCCAACAGGAAGAGGAAATGGCAGGACCAGAGGAAATGGCAGGAAGATGTTCCAGGGCAAGTTTAGGTTGGGCATTAGGAAAAGGTTGTTCAGGCAGAGGGTGGTGGAGCACTGGAACAGGCTCCCCAAGGAGGTAGTCATGGCACCAAGCCTGACAATATTCAAGAAGCATTTGGATAATGCCCTCAGATACATGGTCTGAATCTTGGGATTGTCTTATCCTAGGACAGGAGTTGGACTCTATGATCCTTGTGTGTCCCGTCCAACTCACAACTCTCTATGATTCTATGAACACAGCCTGTACAAGGGGTCAGGCAAAGGCTGAACAATCCTAGGATGTTACAGGAACAGGAAAATTTTATTCATGGCTGGGGTAACATTTTCTGGCATCAAGCTCCAAGACTCTGTTGGTTTCTGCAGCTCAGATTCATGAGAAATTATTTGCTTGCTGGAAGGATATCCCTGTCTGATTCTGATTCATTCTTTTTTCCTCTCTCATACTCAGAGTTTTTGGGCACTTCAGTCTCCGTTCTGAATGGCAACTGGTCAAGGTGGACTACAAGTCTATCTTCAGCCGTAGGTGTAACAAAGATGACTACCAAACCTGGCATCTGCACAATCAGGTATTCCCATTGTATAGGGAGGGGATGAGGGGGGCTCCCTTTCCTATACTCTGTGTTGCCAGGTAAAAATGTATTTGTTCTCTTCAGCAGAGCATATGGATTTTTTGCATCCATAAAGTCACAGTTCTAACCTGTTGATGCTTTACTTCCCCTGAAGCATATGCATGAATAAACATGGGGCCAGTGTTCCCTGGGCAAGTTAGGGAGATTGTTAACTTCTCTTTGTATGAAAATATTCCATTGCACCGGCTGAATCTTCTTGCCCTTGGTGCTAAGGGCAATGTAAAACCTCACCTTGTGATTGAATTGTAGGAGACATTGCACTCTTTTTAGCTCTGTCAGTGAATCATGAAAATAATTTTATTTTACTTTGCCTCTATTTTCCCTACTCAAAAATGAAAATAAAAACATTTATTCATCTTGCAGGTCCTGCAGGTGTCTGTAAAACTCTGGGGAGCCTTTGAATAAAAGACACCAGAGAAGACCAAATTATTTCATTTTCTTCAAGGATACATGCTTTGCTTTTCATACACTCTGGCTTATTTTCATGCTGGATATATTTAGGTGCTGAAGCCACTGTAACTGAGAGAGCTCAATACCCTCTGAAGATTACTTATGGGTCACTGACCACCAGTATGATGTCCCATTCCCTGCAGGGCAACATAACTAGAACCAGAACTATTGGCACTGTGATATTCCTGAATGAAATCCATGAATTAGAAATGATCATGAATTTGGCAAGGATGTATCAGATAACTGAAGTCATAGAATTGAATAAATGAAAATAATTTAAATGAAAGAAAGGGAAGACGTGTACCTAGGCAGCCATCTTGGGAATCACTGTTAATGGGAAAGAGAAGTGTTTCAATTAGGTGGGTTTTTTTTTTCCCCTTACTTCTGCGCAGACAAATTATTTCTGCATCAGAGAAAATTCTATTTATAGAAATGAAATGTCAAATGTTTCTCTTAGATTACCTACTCCCAGTAGTTCTCATGGAAACCTTTGTGTTCAAAAAGCCCAGTATAACACACCATCAAAATTATTTATGGCCTATAAGAAAGCCAAGTCTGACAAGGAAAGAGGAGAGGGTACAGCACTCCTGGGTTCCACATCTAGATTTTGTCCCTGCCCTGGATTTTAGGCTTAGTTAGATCTTCCCATAGTAGATTTCATCCAACATATGGAAGAAACACAGGAGTTTTTTCAGGATAATTCATTCTACATTGTTTTTTCAGGATAATTCATAGGACTAGATACATTGGTGGATACCTTCTGAAATACGACATAACTGGGTGTCTGTGACAGCTTGAGCATCCAGGCATTTTGAGCAGATTGTTAGAGGCATCCCAACTCAGTGCTGAACACAATGCATTCATGGGTCCTTCCATGGTGGCTTTTGAGTTTGCAAAGGCACAAAAGGGAACTTTGACTCTTTGCTCCCAGCTTTTCCAGTGGTAACTGCGTGCTTTCATTGCCCTTTGTATCTTTTGACAAAATGCTTCATTTAGATCCTAGCTGCCACTACAGCTCTCTGTTTTTCTTTCTTCTCTTGTTCCTTGGCTGCTGAAGGGCGAGCCTTGTGTCATGGGAGAGAGGAAGATCTATAAAAAACGCAAGCCTGGAGCCCAGTGTTCCCTCGGTCGGGATTATTCCCATACTGTGGTGACTGAACCATGTGTCTGTGGTCAAGGGGACTTTGAGTGGTGAGTATGTGACTCTGGGGACTTCTGCAGAGACTATTCTTGTAGGATTGTCAGTGGCCGAGCTACCGTGCAGACAGAAAACCTTGCAGAGAAACTGAATCTCATGCAGCTTTGTGGCTATGATCATACCTATAGCATAGATGTGGTCCCTATACCTGTTGTCTGAGGGAGGTGTCCCCCTTATCTGTGGGAGGGTTTTGTTAATCTCCATGACAAATCCAAGCCTGGAATTCAAAAGCAGAAAATTGCAAGTACAGATTGGCATTTTTTTGTCTGTCATTCTAGAAGAGTGACAACCAGGACTCTTCTCTGGACCAAATCATATCCATTACAGGAGAAAGAAGGAATTTTTCTGTCCTCACTTCTAAGGTCATTGAATACCTAGGGAGCAAGCTAGTGAAACATGCACATTTTTATCATTATTTCTTTGAATTCCTGGGAACTGTTTGTTACTTTTTAGCAATGTTTTGTTGAGAAATTTCTGAAAAAGCTTCTGTGACATGACTGTACAGTCCACTCTTGTCAGATGTAGCTACTTGTTTTGCATAAATATTGGTGTTTGTAACTTAATGGGGCCATAATTTCCAAACTGTTTTAAGGTCACTTTGAAAGCAGCTTAAAAATAAAACAGGGAAAAAGTGAACCACTTCTTAATACTGCTTTGACAGTCAGGGATAGGAGATGGGAGAATGCGTAACAGTCAGGAATTCCTGCAGGGAACCTGTGGTAGGCAGTATTTCAAAGATTTAAGACTGTCAGTAGCTGTGATGTTTGAGTTTAAATGATCAGAATATCATTTAAATGGAGTTCAAAATACCCTGAATGCAGATCAGCTAAGAAAACATTTTAATTTTTAAAGTAGGTTATCAGGATCAGTGTCTGATTCTGTATTGGTGTAAACTTCATTTACCTTCGAATCCTTCCTGAAGAGGTGGGAGGTATAAGATCTGCACACTTATTTGAACCTAGGCCAACTGAGACTCAGTTCTTTTTAGAACATGGACACACTGAAATGAGTAAAAATGAATAAAAAATATAGACCAAAATATTTTCTTGAATATTGGAGTAGTTTGGCTCTAAGAGAGGTTCAGGGATATAGAACAGAGATTTTAATCTTATCTGGATGGATGTTTAATTTGTTCCTAATGCCAAAATTACATCTGAGACTTCTTAGCTTGACTCAGGAGATCTTTCCCCTTTGTTCTCATCATGTGACCTTGCAGGATGAACAAACTATCTTGCCCTGCAGTATCTGCCCTTGGCATTGGCATATGCCTCTGAGCTGAACCAAGCACCAGTCTCCAGAGATGCTTATTTGCCCTTTTTTTGTTGGGTTTTTTTTTTTTTTGTTGTTGTTGTTTTTTTTTTTTGTGGCTTTGTGCCTCACCACCTTTCTATTTTCATGGTGAAGCTTGTCTTTTCTAAGCTATAAGTGGAAAACTGTGGTAGCTAAATTGGCCTTAAGTGCTGTTCTGCCTTGAAAAGGGTCTGCATCAGAATGTACCTTTTCAGTCAATTGACATGTTGCTTGCACATGTTCAGTATCATTTTTGCTTAACTTTCCCACTAACATGAGAGAATGTTGCTGTTAACCTTGTCAGTCCTGCAGAGGAAATGTGGTTAGAGGACAGCAAGCTGGCTTTTGTTTCAGACTCTGTGCTGCCAACAAAACTGTTAACTGGCTTCTAATTGCAAAATATAGCTGGTGATGGAGAATCAGAACCAGCTTCAATTTAAGGGTTAGTTTTGATGCTAGTCTGCAGGCCTGGCTGGAAGAGGGTGTAGGGCGATCAGTTTGGATGTCAATTTGAGAAGGGGAGGTGCTGAGAAGTGCCTTTTCTCTCCGCTGTTTGGAAGGAGGCTATAGGCAGGAAGCTTATGGAGATATGTCCTCACTGTAGATATCTACAGTTGGAAGGACAACTCCTACTCTTTCACTTGGTGCTTTTGAAAAGGGAAGATGTCCACTCAGCCTTTTCTGACTGAGTTCACAATTGCCAATTGTTCTTGGATGCACTGTCTGGTTTGTGTCTTGTGTATAAACTGAGCAGGTCCTGTGGAGAGTCAGGGAAAGGAGGAGGATCAGCAGCTGCGTTGTGTGAGTACACTGACCAGCATGTCCCACAAGACAGGCCCTCCACTTCCCCAGTAGGTAGATGTGGAGGCTGGTTCTGGTCACAGAGCATCCCATGCTACCAGATGTGATGACGCCTGCCTTCAAGAGCTGTGGAGCCAGGACAAGTGGCTGTGGGAGCCCTATAGAACAAGCAGTGAGGGCTGTGCTCCCTCCCATGTGGTCACAGTGCCCTTTCCCCTTCTCTGCCTCATGCTGCAGTTATATCTGCTTCCTGCTAAATATAAGGCTAGTCTGAATTTCAGGGGCATAAACCACGATCCAGGGCCCCAGTTCAACAAATCCTCATGAATCAAGATCAGGGATGACTCCAGCTAACCCTCATAGTCATTTCCAAAAGCAAACCCTGGCCTTTTTCTAACAGAGAGAATGGCAGGAGGAACTCAGAAATGTTATTAAAATGCTCTCTGATCTTTCTTTTCCCTCCTCCTGCTTCTTTATTTACTCTGCCAAGATAGCTTTCCTGAGAAAGATGGCACAGCAGCTGGACTTGATTATTTCCTTAACTTATGCAAACCCTGGGGCTTATGAGAAGGAAGGTGGGCAGCATGCAAGGTTTTAATATACATTTACCAGAAGTTAATGAACAAGCATAGAACCTTGAGGGCATACAGCAATGTTGTCTTTAATTTTATTAAATATTTATGCAGCTCTTTTCTTCTTTGGGGCAAAGTACAGCTCCTTCTGAATATTTTTAATTACCAAGTCACTGCCAGGCATTTTTGACTGTGCAGGTCGGACCCACTGAGAATGATTAAATTGAATGTTGAGAGAAAGAGCATTAGGGAATTTCTGTACCTTTTAAAGTAGCTTGCAGAATTTTTGCCCTCCAAAAAAGAACAGGAGCAGCCTGGGTCACTGGGGACATAGCACAATTTTGTCTTACCAAAGCTCTTCCTAGAGACTTTCTGTTGGCAATTCAGACTTTGAGCAGGGAAAAGATAAAACTCAGAGTGCCCTAAAGGGCACAGAGAGCTTTCAAGGTAGTGGCTTCTGTACTGTCTGTGTCTCCACAGAGGTTTAGTTTGTTGGCATTTGTTAACCTGCTTCAGGCAAAAAAACAGAATCCCTTTTTATTTGCCCCTTGAATCCAGCCTGCCAGTAAAGACTGTGCATAGAAACCTGATCCAGAGCCTATTGAAACTTATGGAAAGCTTTGGATTAATCCTATTTTTTTATCATTGTATTGGCATACAAAGGCAGCTGTAAAAAGAAGTCTTGGATATGATTGTGTGCATTTCCACTCTTTGGTGGTCCAAGGAAGCATTAATACCCTGGATTACCTTCCCCATTTGACACAGTATTGTGTAATCCATAGACTACCAAGATGGCTGTATTGTTTTAGTTTAGTGTCGGAAAAACATAAGCTATGGTTTTCTTTCAGGCCAGTCAGTGCAGTCAAAGAGCAGGGAGGCCATTAACGTACATAAATATACATACCTTGGCTAGTTGTTCAGGAAGTGCTCCTGGTGTTTTGTATTCCTAACTGCTTCATTGGGAAAAGGTGACATTAGATCTTGGAATTGGCCTGGTTTGTTCTGAAAGCAGAGACTGCAAAACCCAAGCAAACCAAAAGAAACCAACAAGTGAAATTTTTAGAAATTAATATGAAAAGAAATTAACAATACAAATTTCTTTCTGAACCTCTGCTCATGTTTTATTACCAAATGAAACACAACTACTCCAGTGCTCTGCAAGGTTGGTGGTTCTGGTGTTGTCAAATATCACATACCTTCTGTGAACTGTGTTCCTGCCTCTCAAACTAGTCAAGCACTTTGTCTCTGGATGAATGCAATCCATGATTTCATGCCATCCAGCAGAGAACCAGCAACACCAACATGCTTTGGGGAGCAAAAGTGTCACCTAAAACTCTGCGGTAAACCTAGTGCACGGGTACAGTGATGCACTCATGACTTGTCTCCATAGTGACTATGGGTATGAGAGGCACAGCAACAACCAGTGCGTCCCAGCCTTCTGGTTCAGCCCGTCCTCCCTGTCCAAGGATTGCAGCGTTGGTCAGAGCTACTTGAACAGCACTGGGTAAGTGAACCTTGCAGTCTCTCTGGTTTTGGTGACCTTGCAGCAGACAAGATAACCTGGATAGTTCTTTTTTCTCTCTCCATCCCACCTGGCTCTTTTCCAGTCTTATTCATAAGGTAATGTTTGCAGCAGCATCTGTATGGAACATTGCCTCATCCCTCAGAGGCAGGGAGAAGCGCATTAACATAAGTGACATGTAGATATTGTATTGCTATCAAGTGATGTATGATCTCTGGAGCTTAGACTTGGAGCTCCCCTTTGCTGCAAAATTAAAACGCAAATCAAGAAGGTCTATCTGAGAGACAGCTGAACATTTAAAAGGACAGGTTCAAGGTATTTCACATCACTTTTTGTTGAACCTCTTCCTATCTTACAGCTCCTATTTATAACAGCTTCTGGGGAGGCTCAAATGAGCAATATTTAACCTCTTCTTTTTTTTTTTTTTTTTTTTTTTTTTTCTCTGCCATTTTCACTTTGTATATACAATGTCTTGAGATTTCAGACAAGCTACATGTGCTGGTTTCTCTTGGTTTTACCCAGAACAGATGGCAAGTGTTGGTTTATTATGGTAGTATTCCTTTGCAAATGATATTCTATCGTGCAGGGGATTCTCCGAAACTCTGGATGCACTGGCTGGTGCAAAATTGCGATGTTCCTTCTCAGGCGGTGCAGGCCCTGAAGACTTTGCAGGGCTCTTTCTGAGTCACAGGTCCTGCATGTTTGATTGTTATGACAGGATTTTTTGTGGCTGGTTGATACGGGTGGCTGAACAAAGTGGGGCTGCTGGGAGTCTGGACTCATTTCACTTCAGAGACCCCCTTTCAGCTGAAAGGTTGCTATAAATATGGGATATTATTACAACAACCGTGTCCGGTATAATTGCTTGTAACCCTCTTGACAGAGAGCAATAAGAAAATAGTTGGGGTCTGTGATTCTTAACCAATCCTTTATTTTTACTCTGAAATTATTAGAAAGGGTTAATCCCCCTCAACAGCACCAGGAATAGCGAAGTGTCCTGCTAGTTCACTAACCTCTTCCAAGAAGAGACAAGAGAAAAACCCATTCCTTGAATAATTTTAAAATTGGACTGGACAAAGCTCTTGGCAGATCATTCCAAGTGCCTTCTAGCAGAGTAGAGGCAGACAAAATGTAATAAAAAGCATAATTAAAAAGCTGAGATGCAGGGTGCAATCCTGCAGGCATGGGGAGTTGGGGGGGAGTTCTTTGCCTTTTAGCAGTGCAGAATAATTCACCTCCACAATGTGTGTCTGTTTTCAGTAATGCTGCTGAGACTCTCGGGAGAAGGTTGGATTGTGTTTTGTTTGGTTTTCTCCAATTTAATAAAGCGTTAAATTTCTTTGATTCTTCCTTTCAGTGAAGGAATCATGCAGGCAGTTAGCCTTTGCAAAAACTCATGCATTAATATGGAGAAACAAAACAAAGAAACTTTTCCACCCACCACCTAAGCCCAGTCTCCTTTTGTTACTGTTCCCCAGGTACCGCAGGATTGTGTCTAACAACTGCACAGATGGCTTGCGACAGAAGTACATGGCCAAGATGGAGAAATGCCCTGGGAAAGCACCTCGGGGACTGCACATCCTCACTACTGATGGGAAGTTGGTTACAGAGCAGGGACACAATGCCACTTTTGTCATTCTTATGGAAGAGGTTTGTTAGTTTGTTTGTTAGTGGGCTTAGCAAACCTTTCGCTGTGTGACAGAACTTGCACTCTTTTCTTTCATCTGTCAGGCTGCTGCGAGGAAAATAGTGATCAGGTGGGGTCCTGAAATGATGAAGACAAATGAGATTTAGGAAAATTCAGGAAAGAGGGCTATACTTGAAACATACAAACTAATCATATTGGGTCAAGCTAAAGGAGTATTTAGCCAGTTATCTCGTCTACCAGTGATGATGAAGCAAATGCTGAAAAAAGATATCTGGTCAAAAATATATTTCCCCACTAGCTACTTGCTGCCTGTAGTGAACTGCAGTTTATGGAGTTTGTGAGGCAGAAATGGTGTCACTGCACTTAATAATTTTGTTTCTGGGATGAAAAGCTTTAGCTGAAGCTTCGCTGGGAAAGGTTAAGAACAGTGGGGAACATTTTCAGACTCATGGGGAGCAGTGAGGGACATTATTGTTTTGCAGTAGGAACTGAACCTTCTCAAGCCACCTCTGAGCTGCCTAGCCCCTAATTTTTGTGTATGATGTAGTATGATTCCCTCTGTAGCCAACAGTAGCATAAGTGATACTAGGCCATGCTGGTGCCTGAAGTATCAAAATATTGAGGCATTGCTGGTGATTGCTGTGAGTCAGGTACCCCCGTGTCTGGCAAAAATGGATGGGGCAGCCTGTGTCACCAAGGCTTATGGCTCAGTGGAGGGTTGGATAGCTAAGCAAGGCACTTGGTATGTAGACTGACAGGAGGGTTTTTCAAATGATCTTATGCCTCTTCTGGTCTGTGATTTGATTCAATGTTTAGGTATATATGTAACTGCACCACTAAAAGCCCTGCTGTATTTGCAGCTGCTGCATTCCCCTGCTGGCTTTTGACTGCCTGTGGGAGGTGTCATTGGAAGTCCAAGAGTGATTTTCCCACAATGGCTTGTGTTCCATCTGTTTTCTGGTTAAGCAGAAGGGTCACCTCACAACCTCACCTCTAGCACCTTAGAGTGTCTTAGGAGGGGCAGCCAGGGAACAAGGTGATGTTGGAGAACCACAAGTACATTTTGTCATCTACTCTGTCCTATATAATTTGGGACAGTACCTGGAGACAGCTGGGGGCCAGACATGCCATGGTCACAAATGTAAGAATAATGACACTAAGACAGACTAGGTGCCTGTCTCCTAAGTATCCTGCCTCTGACAACAAGCAGCACTAGATCTCCAGGAAAATCGTATTAGAAACAGTGCAAGCCTAGTGTCCCTTCCCCTCCCAGTCCTTGGTGTAGCCTTCATCAGCAACTAAGACCTTCAAGGATACAAGTAGATATTGTAAGTCTGAGCATACTGCTGCAGAGAAGTTATTTTCTCATGATACCTTGTTAAGTTTTTTTAAACAGACACACTTGTATTAATTTAAATTCTTATACAGTAACTAAATGTTTCATTGGGACCACACTAATCTGATAGGGCCTTCTTACATACTTCCTCAGAGCTTCATGCAAGCTCTGCTTTTATACAAAGGGGATTTCTTGTCTACCTGGCTGGTTCTTTTATATTCTGCACACTTGACATGGTAAGACGATTTGTATAGACACTGTGAGTGGGAGTTAAGAAAAGAACAGACATAATCTAAAAATTAGGAATCTAGTAGTAATTTATTAAGGAACTCAAGCAGAACTGCTGCGTACAAAGAATGATAAACAGATGCGGAATAAGGCAGCAGTCAAGGTAGCTGAAGAGTGGAGTCTTTACAAGGCTTTAGAGATTGAAGAGGCAGCCGAATAAATATGTGAGGGTGTTCACTCTATGTCCTTTGTTGAAAAATAAGGATAGTTAGAAAACATTTCATTGAAACAATTTTTTTCTAAGGGAAGAAGATTTTCAAGAACATGTCTTTGTGGGTGAGTAGCTTATTCCACAGAGAGTTCTGTGTTGAGTTTGTTTCTTAAAATAATAGACATTTTAAGAGGGAAAAAAAGAACACCGAAATTTTATGCAAAAGTACTCTAGTCTTCCAGTGTGAACCTGAGACGAATTGTTATCAAAATATTCCTTGTTAGTTGGAAGAAAAAATTTCTGTTGAAGTCTTAATTATTACATGCCTTGCTGTCATACAAATTAATTCCTGCCTCTCTCCACCTTCTCTGGTCAGTCTGTTTCCTGACTGACAGGTGGGTTGTTTTGTACCTATGTCTACACTCACTTTCTGAGCCAGAGAGCAGTCTGATAAGACCTCCTGTGGATACATCTGTGTGGTCTCCATTTAGCCTTCCTACTGTTTCAGACTAAACCTGATTAGCAACTTTGTGATTAGGCATCAGTTCCTTTCTACCTTCTAGTATACATCCTCAATACATTGATGTGACTTGCCTTTATGCTGTCCAATGGTAAATGAATGCTTTATCATAGTTAATTGAAAATTGAATTTCTCAGAATTTGTAGATTTAGCTTTAGTAGTATTGTTCATGGTAGTAATTCAGAATATGTGTGTGACCATAACAATGGACAAAGAAATGCAAAATGACTGATGATTTTTGTTGAACTGTACATACATGCAAAAGAACATGAGGAGATAAGAATCTCTTTTTATTTTTCTTTTAATCCAAGTTCTAGTTTTAGCCCAAAGAAATAATAGATTGCCAAATTACTGTTGTATGCAGTTGTGTTCTTGTCCTATGAATCTGTTTTTGCACCTGATATTTTCCATGCATCCCCAGCTCCCTTCTGGAGGGTACATAAACTCCCTTCAGGCAAAAATGCTTGTTTATGTGGCAGCTCCAGTTATTCAACTCCTCTGTTCCCTTGTCTTCTCTTTATGCCATCTCACGGCTTCCCTCTTTTGGAAATTACAAGGTGATGGCAAGGCTTTGTAACACAGTTGTAATTGCAAGTGAACTGAGAAGGCAAGCAGTGACTATTCAAAGAACAAGCCTGAGCAAGTATTGGAGCTCTGCACATCTGTTAGAAGATTGCTAAACTGTGTTTATAGAAAGAGATCATAGAATGGTTTGGGTTGGAAGGGACCTTAAAGATCATCTAGTTCCAACACCCCTGCCATCAGCAGGGACACCTTCCACTAGACCAGGTTGCTCCGTCCATGTCATATTTTTATGCAAACAATTTGAGAACTTCATTAGAAGAACCAAAATGCATCATGTATATGCCCCAAGCCTATGTTGAATGAAATATAACCCTCCTGAAATCAGTGGGAGTTTGGCTCTTAGCTTCAGAAGGCCAAAATTTCAACCACTGTTTTGTCTCTACAGTTTTTATCACTTTGCTTATATAGCTTCCAGACAGGAAAACTTTCCCAGGCTAGTCTTGATGGGGAGATGACTTTGAAGGGCTGTTCCATGGCAGTACTCCTCCTCTCCAACCATTCCACTACACTTTGCCTGCTCACTGATTTCAGTACGCAGAGCTCCAATCTTTGTGACATCTCCGAGCTCATTCCCTTTTGGTAGTTTACAGGGCTTAAAGCAATAAAATGTGCCTTTTGAATATATATGGAGAGCAATGATTTTTTTCCCATTTGAAATGCCTCCATTTCATTTCTATTTTAATTTATATTCATAAACTCCAGAATACCTGATACCATGTGTGGAGCTAGGACACTACTTTTAGCTTTTTGCATACTGGATACAGAGGTATGGAAAGGAGAAAGAAAACATGATTAGTGTAATGGGCAGTCTTTGCATTGAAGATACAACTCTCATAATTGGGTAGAAAGATCATCTGCTACTGTTTAGTAATGAAAAATCTATTTCTGTTTCTCTACTTCAAACCTTCTAATTTCAGATAAAATTATATTGAAGAAGCAAGCAAGGAGGAAATAGAAAAGAGAATTGTAAGGCATGAGAGAGGAGCTGCTGTGAAGGGTGCAAGAAATTTCAGCCTGAGGTCACCAGTGGTGATTCCAGACCAGATGAAATTTTTATCTTCTGTTCGGTGTCTTCCATATAAGATGAACTTGTAGTCTTAGTGCATTCCCTTGAGGAGTGGTTTTGAAAGGTTTAACAAGATGTAGGAGCCTTTATATCAGATGTCTGAATATCCCAAGAGTGTAATTTTACCCCTGCTAAAGAATTTTTTAGAATGACTTAAAAAACTCTCTGTCAAAAGGATGTTACTGGCTACTCAATATTACAGTTAGGTTTTAGTGTCGCTACCACTCTAGTCCTGTACGTTTTCTTTTTTTGGTTTATATAGTATTTTTATTGTCCTAGTAGGACAGAGTGAAAATGGTGCCCTGATCAAGTCAATAGACAAAACTCCCCTGGCTCCTGTGGAATGGGAATGATGGAGCAAGGAAGGAGAGAGATCTGACATATATAACCAAATATCCCAATTTCAAAAACTACAAATAATAACCCTGATTATATGGGTGTGTACCTCAAGATTCCAAGTACAGACTCAAGGCAAATTCACATCTGAAAAATACCATTCTTACACACTGATTGGTTAATGTACGCATAGCCTATGGGGAAGATGAAGTTTGTGGAGCATGCTGTGGTCCTGATTATCTTCACAGGAGAGCCGCTTCAGTGTAGTCTGGCTTCTTATCTGTGCTCCCAGGTTTCCATCCAGAGGACAAGATCAGGTGCAATTTGGGGGCTGAGGCAAGTAGCAGAATGCAGCATCCTGCCTGTGTCAGTCCTGACATTGCCACTTACACAGGCTGATGCAAACCACCAGTAAGACAGCAGCTTCCATGAGCTTCAAGCCAGTGGGAGGCAAGAACTGTGACCTCTTGCCTTTCATGGATGTTTTTATCTCTGTAGAAGCCTGTTGTGCACCTTTGGTCTCAGTTGCTGATCATTTGGGTTAGAGCAGCCTGTGAGCTGTTTAATCCTGGTTTAAGAGCCTCTTTTTCCATGATCTAGCCAATATTCTACCTTTATGCTGACTGTCCTGAGATGATGAGAAGTCATGATCCAAAATGGATCTGTGCTACTTATGAGTGTGTTTGGACTGTATGAGAAATCACTTATGGATGGGAGGTTCACAGTCAGAATTTAGGCTGCAAGCCATGTGTTTTGCTGCACACAAGTAAACTTGAAAACTACTGCTCAGAGGAAAGCTGGTGCTATCAGCTCTGAAACCTTTAAGAACTTTCACACATGTGGTTGTCCCAAGCAATCTTTTCTCTTTGTTTGATCTGCATAGTTTTTCTAGGAAGTCATGGTTTGTTTTGTGCAATGCCTGTTCCAGAGGCTTTAGTGAAATCTGTGAGTTCAGTGGTCTTTTCCAGTGAGCCCAATGGAAGTAGGACCCTGCAGGATTTGAGCTGGCTGTGAAGGGATTGGAAGTACATCAGAACTGTGTGTTATAGGGTTGCTTCCCTCCCTTAGATCAGTATGTACTGGAACTGCACATTAGCTTTGATCCTGACCCTGTGCACATACAGCTATAACAGGGTTTATGAGATGGCCATGAAATATTTCTGAATTTCCTATTTAAAAAAAAAAAAAAAAGTTAAATGGGGGAATGGGGATTTTTTTTTTTTTTTTTTTTTTTCCTTTGGATTCTCACTCTTATCCTCAATATATATGAGGACTGGTTTCAGTTTTGGGCTAGAAGCATCTCCAAGAGGTAGTGGTATCTTCTTCACCCATAGTGAATACAGTGGAGACCTCTCATAGAAGGAAATTACTTGGGCCAATACATCTTCATATATGCATAAAGCTACAGAGATTTAATCTGAGGTGTAGTTTTATTTCAGTTTAATGAAATCACTGCAGTGGGCTTTAGCTCTGTTTAAATTAGCCTTGTTTTGTGTTACTTTTAGTCAGCTGGGGACAAATATAAAGTAAGGCTCCAAGAAACTGAAATAACAGACACTTCTACAGTTCAACTACAGTGGTTTAAAGCATGATTTAAATTAAAACAGTGCAGCTGCTGCCTCCAGACTTCAAGTACCTGCAATGCTGGAATCTCTTGTCTTTTGTTCCCTCCATCGTTTAATAGCTGTCTTTGACAGTAATCCTGGAAGGGATTTTCTTGTCATCTGCTTCATTCTCCTAGGTATCCAGGCCCTATCTCTGTGTTGACTGGCATTAGGCAAAAGCTGTCAGTCCTTAATGTGGGACTCAACCTGTATAAATTCAGTCATCCTGAAGTTACATGTCTAACTGAAACTGGTCATCTAGACTCTCTGTCATCATGGTACAGGGTACATATTTGCAGAAGACTATTCATGTCACCTGTCTCAGTTATCTTACAATGGAATATGTTGGTCTCTTGCTGTCTTTTTCTCTCTTCCACTGACTATACAGGAAACCTGGAAAACTAGCTTTGACTAGACTTACAGCATCTCAGTGACTAGGTTCTGTTTCTTTGGAACATCTTGGAGAGCCACCTCAGCCAGTGTCCTGCTTCCAGACTGTCTCTGATGCTCCCATGTGCATGTGGGAATTGCTCTACAATTAGCATCTAGCTCTACAATTAGCATCAGTGTAGTGCCTCCCACCTCACTGTCTCTGATGGAGGTACTTGTTGGACACCACCCATTCAACGAAAGATTGTGCAAAGCCCTGCCCATTTAAATGACACATAGTCCCCAACCGTGCATTGTATAGACGATTCAAACATGATCTCCTTGATATATGCATGTGTAACACTCTGCCCTCCCAAAATATCTAAACCCAAGATGAGGGAATAACATCTGTTTACAGGTATAAATGTTTGACTCTTCTGTGTATTGCTTGTATATAATTACCTGGTGTTCATTTGAGTCTGGCCCCTTTGGGGACTGACAGAACAAATCTAGATTTTTTTGGTAAGTTACAGGTTTATGTCCATGCTAATGAAATAGAACTGAGAAGTAGGATGCACGGTAATATAAATCACTCTTATCAACCCATTTTCTAAGCCAACCTTCTCTGTTGCAGGGCGATCTCCAAAGGACAAATATTCAGCTTGATTTTGGAGATGGCATTGCAGTATCCTATGCTAATTTCAGCCCTGTGGAGGATGGCATACGCCATGTGTATAAGAGTGCTGGAATCTTTCAGGTGACGGCATATGCAGAGAACAGCCTGGGCTCTGACACTGCTGTCCTCTTCCTGCATGTGGTCTGTAAGTACTTCCCGCTGCTGGATTCCTTGGGTGAAAAACCTAACCCCACTGAAAATCCCTGAAACTTCAGTAGGGCCTAAGTATACATGCAGACCCACTTACATGTGCAGCTCATGCTCTTGCAAAGGTTTGGACCTCTAGACACTCTTATATCTTAAGTAAACTTTATTGAATGAAGAAGAAGACAAGCTTCTCTTAAAAAAATGTATATTTGGAGTCCACACAGGTACAGAGAAATGTTTGAAAATGATTCTTGGGCTTTCTGAAAGGGCTGACCAAACGACATATGAAACAAAGTCCAAATGTGTGTTTTCAGTATAGTTCTAAATCCAAGAGATTTAGATTAATCTCCTAAATTTTGAGTCAGTTATTCAGGATTTGGGAGTTTATGGTGCTTATTAAATAAATAAAGAAAAAATTATGCTGAGCATACTTCCTGGGATATGAATATACTGAGGACTAACGTGCTACTTTTCATATTTCATGTGTTTCATGTGCACCCCTAACTCTTCCCTCCTGTTTGGTAGATCAATGCTATTTCTCTCCACTTGGCAAATGAGCAGACTCAAATATAGAGCCCCTAGCTGGCTTTCTCAAAATCACAGGAGAGAGCAGAGAGTGTGGAACATAGGATGAGACCAGGAAGATCCCAGTTCTTTGTCCTGCTCTCAGGCTGCTAGATCTCCTGGGCAAAGAGCTGCATCTGTGTTCAGGTGTACCTCATCAGATTTGCCCTTAATGGTGTTCACAGCCATGTCTGTCTTCTCCTTTAACCTGTCAGAATGTCTGCTAGCCTATCTGTCTTTTTACTTTAGCTTTTCTGCTGGAAGGAAGCAAGTCAGAAATTTCCAAAACTCAAGAACTTTTTTCTTCTTTATAATTTCAGGCTCCCTGTGTGAAAGAATAAATGTTCCTTGAAGCTTTTATTATGCTCATAATTCCCTCAAAGTCAATCATGGCTGCATTTAACAACCTGTTACTAGAGCATTAACTGTTTTTTCCTTCACCTTGGGCCATTAGCTGACAAAAGTGATGGTTACCTGGTAATAACAACCAGCTTTGTATGGATTATCTGATTTTTCTTGTAGGAACTGCTTTTTCATTATGAGGATCTTGGAGCAGAATGCAACGAGGGGCAGTTGCTTGGCCTGGCTGTGCTACTTTACCCTCTTCTTCCTCAGCCTCTCAAGTCTCTCCTTTGACTTTTATAGCATTCTTAGGTGGCCAACTTATTATCATTGTCTTTAGGGAAATATTTTGCAAGAATGTTCAGTCGTGTTAACACTGAAATAACATGATACCTCAGTACTACACTTTTAATATATTTGAATGTACTAGTCAATATAGGAGGTTTGACCTTGAAGCTCAAATGTACAGACAAAAATGCCTGCTATATAAATCACCCTTATTATACTATCTGGTACTGGAATCCTGTGCTGAAAAAAAGGAGAGAGAAGGTCCTTTGCCTCAAGCAAGAGTAGTTTTCTACCCTGCAGGTTTATCAGTGGTCAGTCAACTTTTCACTTTTCTGGAATCTGCTGTCAAGCTGCTCATTCCATCATTTTAGAGGAAGTGAAGATATTAGGATTTTTCCTCTTATCTGCACTGTCATAAAATATCTGGGGGAACCTGCTATTCTTGGGAACCCAGAGTACTTAGAGTATAGGCAGATTTCAGGAGTGACTTGCTGGTAGAAACCCCTTTGGAAAGGGGGAACAAAAAAAGAACAAGTCCTTAGGAACCAAAAGCAAAAATAGTGTTCCATTGTGGTCAGAGCTGTAAAAGAACAGGTCTTGCTCTCCAAAGTCCTTGTAATCCAAACAGGTAGAGAAGTGATTAGTGATTAGTGTCCCCATTTCATGCTTGAAAAGCTGAGAGGTAATGCAAGAAAATAATCTCGGTTAAAATCAGCAAATTTCCTGTTTCCCAGAATTAGTTTTTTACCCCAAAAAACCCATCTCACTTCTTTATTTCATCCTTTCCTTCTCACATTGGTAGTCTGTCAGTTTGCTGTGTTTTAAAAGGTACCATCCAGAAAGACTCAGTAACACTGTCAGATGTCTACCAGTTACCAGGTGAAATTCAGTACCAGTAAAAACAAAAAATTAAACAGGAAGGAAAACAATGGAGCTAGTAAAAGCTTTAAATAAACAAACAAAAAAAAATCAGTATTTTTTAAACTTTGTTTTTTCTGGAGAGGAACTGACAGGGACGGGACAGGAGAGAGAAAGAATGTGTTTTCTTCAAAATAGATCCACTACCAAGATTTATGGAAAAATCATTTTAGCCAAGATGATTTAAATCTGATTATATATTAGGCGTTGATGACATGATTAAATACTTCCTGACAGTTCTTTAGAAGGTATCAAAAAGAAAGATTAATGATTTTGGAAATTCCTTGTAGCTTTTTTTACTTTTGCCTGACCTTGAGAAGTCTTTGGGGAGTCATTTACCACTAGCAAAAAGGCAGGAACTACTTGAAAGGTGTGTGCATTGGCATACCAAAGCTAAATAAGGACTTCTTAATTCTGAACTTCATGCACTGGACTCGTTCTGGATGTTTGTATTTATTAAACACAAATTTGCATTGATACTTTGTTAATTTTTAAGTCTTTCAGAAACAAGTTCTTCTCACTGGTAAATGCTTTGGTATGCCAATGCACACACCTTTCAAGTAGTTCCTGCCTTTTGGTAGTGGTAAATGACTCCTCAAAGACTTTTCAAGGTCAGGCAAAAATAAAAAAAGCTATAAGGAATTTCCAAAATCATTAATTTTTCTTTTTGATACCTTCTAAAGAACTGTCAGGAAGTATTTAATCATGTCATCAATGCCTAATATATAATCAGATTTAAATCATCTTGGCTAAAATGATTTTTCCATAAATCTTGGTAGTGGATCTATTTTGAAGAAAACACATTCTTTCTCTCTCCTGTCCTGTCTCTGAAGCTTTCAATAGCAGCTTGCCCTGTCCAGTGCAAAGCCAGTTCATTATTCTTCCTCAAACTATATTTAAAAAATACTTCTAAACACAGTACTGACCCTGAAATTAGCACTTTGGAGAATGTGTATTTCTGGCTTCTCTAGAATTAAGAGTGAGAAGAAATTGTGTAATTTTATGTTTATTAATCCTGTATCTTTTAATTTTGTATATTTACTGCTGAAATTGTCTTGTATTGCTATAATAGGTTCTCACTGCTGACATGAGACATTTTATTTATTTAGAGGAAAGAGCCTTGCTGTTCACAACTGCACAGGGAGGGTTTAACTCAAATCCTCTAATAATGAACTATGTCTTCCCACAGGTCCAGTAGAGCACGTCCATCTGAGTGTCCCCTTTGTTGCCATCAAAAATAAGGATGTAAACATTACTGCAGTGGTTTGGCCCAGCCAGGCAGGCACGCTTACCTACTTCTGGTGGTTTGGTAACAACACTAAGGTACAACTGCCCTTTGGTTCATTTTTACTTCATAAGCTTGTTGCACCAGACAGGGAACTCTCTCAGCCCTAACAAAAACTTCTTGCCTTTGCTTTATGTTTTAGTTTTTCCTTATCTGAAAAGGGTTGTCATTATCTGAACTTCAACCTTTGTGAGTTTATTTTCTCTTGTCTCATGTTGTTCTTAGGAGTCATTACTTTTTTACATCTAGTTGTTACCGGCCCTACCTGAGCTTTGAAGGCCATTGTTATTACCAGTGTTCACTTACAACTTAACTGAATTATATACCACTATTTATGGGATAATACTGGCTTTCAATGCAGTGTTTAAAAACTGCTGGTGTTCAAACAACCATGGGGGTTTCCTTTATGTACCAGTAGGCAATATGTAATGCTGGATTCCAACACAATACTTTAAAGCTGTTGGTATTCAAACAACCAGTTGTATCTAGAATTTCAAGCTAGACTCACGATGAATAGTTTGTGTCCATCCATGACCATTGTTCAGAGTCTTGGATTTATCAGAGAGAGGTGAGACTTCTTTGTAGTGAATTTTCAAATGATTGGCAAAATTTTATTATAAAGAGCTTTTTCATCAATAATTAAAGTAAGTGAAATTACAAGTTATGGTCATACTTTGAAATGGGGAGAGCAGGATTGCTTGTTAGCTACAGTTTTTATTGCAGGCGTTACGAGTGAGACAGCTGACCCACAGGCACTATTCTCCATTATTACAGCTGTGAAATGTACAACTGATAATTTTGCAATGTAGTATCTGCTGTTATTTACAACAGCAGTTTAAGTCACATCCTTGTCTGCACTGTTGAGTTGCAATTGAAGGTGGGTACTGAGGTGAGATCACAGGAGAAAAAAAAAACGGATTTTACATGAAATATGGAACTTGAATAGGAAAAATAGGAGGCACACAAGTGTTTTATTTTCTCTTTGACAAAGCTGCTTGCATTTTAACATTTTACCCTAGCTACCAAGAGTAACAGGAGAAAAAACCAAAATAAAACAGTAAATTATGTGTCTACTGGGTTTTTACATAAAATTTGGAAGCTTAATGTAAGAACTCACCTATTTTTGTGGAAGCATAATTGAGGCACAAGAAGAGCTCAGGAACAAAAGCCACTTACTATAACTTGGCAAGTTGCTGTGCCTTAGCTGAGCTGTGGCAACCGCCTACATACACATGTCGAGTCCATGACAAGTACCAGCTAATTCCACATAGTTTATACTGCACTGAAAGAGGGGGGATGCAAAATCATATTACAGTTCAGATATTTTTGGCTCGGTGCTCACACATGGACAGCCATTAGAGTACATCTGAGACCATTTAGGTACCGGTAACTTTATCATCTGCTTAAGTTCTCCACTGCACCCAGGTGTCAAGGTTTTCCTGCCATTGCTTTTGTCTTTAATGTAGAAGTTGGTTGTGAATAGAACCTTAAATTTTTATTTTTTTTTTAAATAGAAAGTAATCTAGAAAAGGCAGAGCAAAGCAATAGTGTTTGCTGAAGATTTCCATACAGCTCTCACGGTGCTTGCATCAGGGTTGTAAATATGATCTGTTATCTGTTTTATCTTCTAGCTTAAATTTCAGACTCATAGGCACAAAGTACAAGCAGATATTCATGAGTTTAGGATGGATGCTTTGGAAATAGCTGTAGATGGAGTAGCTGGCCCTGATGATACCTTGGAGTGATTGTACATGTTGCTGAAATATGTTGAGATGTGGATTAGTAAAGATGGCGCCACTTAGCCAGGGCCAAGTCAAAGACCCAGAACATCTCATCTTTCGTTCTCTGCAAAGCATTATCTACAGCTACCTCATGAAATGTACTTCAACTCTGACAGAAGTATGGCAAAGGATATAAATATAACAGCAGCAGCCACGTTTTCTTTCAGGACAACAGTCTGCATCACATCAAAATTCCTCCTGGAATGTTTAAAGTACATGTCAGATCTTTCTCTGTGTCCACTCATGGACAAACTGTGGTGCTCTTAGTACAGGTGGAAGATGGGGACGCTGATTTGTGTGTCAGTTACAGGATGAGGTGTGTAATATTGTGCACAGTGACTGGTATTGATAGGTGATATGTTCTGGTTCTGTGCTGAGGGATTGAAGCTTCTTTTCCTGTTCAGCCTGCAGGCATCCCAGGCAGAACCAGATGTGTCTGTGTCACTGTGCAGTGTCACTAAGGTACTCTCTGTGCTGTGGCACAGGAGAATGTTGTCTTAGACTCAGATGACCTGGCTGAAGCTCTTCTGCTGCCCTCCCCACTCTGCTGGAACCATTGTACTGAATTTCTACTGTGCTAATTTTTGCAGTATACCCAAAGGCCAATTTGCTTGGATTAACACAGGTCCAGTTTAATAAATGTGTCCAGCTGTCTAATAGGTTTGAGCAAATGAACCTTAAACTACTTGATTTAATTTAGAGTTAGTTTCTGGATCTTGGTGTGCAAATTAAAATTAAGGAGTTGGCTGAATGCTGAAACTCCATGATGGAGGTGAAATCATCCATGGTAATGAAATGTCCAGCATACATACTTACAGAAAGGAAAAACTGTATTTTTAAAGGCCAAACTAGTTCCTCTTATCTGCCTTTGTGCAGAACCACAACCTGTAACCTCCAGGAAGATTGCTAATATTATGAGTTTTGATATAGGCACATTCTACTTGTTCAAGATGTATGCATGTCTAACTATATGTTAGCCAGGCCTCAAGGGCTAGCACAAGCTGGTACCCTAGCCAGCTTGGTCTGTCAGTCTCCTGTGATTTAACAGGTTTTTCTTTTTATTTCTCTACTGCTTTTTCAGCTCATGGATGGGGCAATAAAAGGAAGATGGCATTCTGCAGGGAGGGAAATGTGTATGCCAGTGATAATTTTGATATGGCTCTGAAAATGGCATATATGGCCACTGTTGTGAAATGCAGGCATATTAGCGGTCTGATGGGATGAAGTGTGAGAGCTGGAAGGTGAATGTTTAAGGGTTTTCCTCTGGAAACAAACATGTGGCGAAGGGGCAATAGCAATGGTACGATGACTTTATATGTACTTTTAGACCTCTAAGTGCTTTTGCAATGGAGACTAGTACCACTATTTCTATTTTAATGGTTTAATCTAAACTAAGAAATTTGTCTATAGACCAGCTGTCAGATCAATGGCACTGCGAGGACTATACCTTTGATTTTCAATATGCAAATCTCTTTTCCCAAACATGGTCCACTTTTCTCATCTAGATGTGTATCAGTGTGAGAATTTCCTGTGCAAAGAGGAGAGCTGTAGTGCTATCAAGGACATTTTTTTTGTTTGAGAAGGTGCAGGTTAAGCCAGGGCTCTGAGCTGGCTAAATGCAGGTCACCTTTACCCTGGAAACCATTCAGCCACATTCAAACAGCAGTGTTGGCAGGTAATATGCCATACTTTCAGCCTTGTTAGCATGGTTTGCCAGCTTATGGTTGGAGCTAGCTTACAGGCTCAAAGAATGGACAGGGCAATGCTGGGTGACCTCACTCTGTCCTGAACAGAGTTTCTCTGAGGTAGATGGATTTATGCTCATAAGACCAAGGTCTGGTCCTGAATCTGAACAATATGGATTGTTTGAAGAAGCATTTGCATCCTTAGTTTATATTCAAGTACTGGTTTGAGCTGGACCCTGTTTTTTGCACAGCTGATGTAGCAACTGTGCTCAGTGTGCTTGCCTGTGTGCATGCAACACTGTGTTCTGCAGTGCTAATTCTGCAATTGCTGACTGTGTTCTACTGAGGTGTTAATAACATACCCAGTTCAGTGGAAAAATATTTCAGGAAGGATTTACTGAAATGAAGGAAACCTTTGCCAATGGGACAGCTCTCCCTGGGTGGTGTTTGAGCCACATTTAGGCCTTAGAAGGACATGCAAGCTTGGAGCACCATTCCTGTATCAGGGAGGAAGGATATTGTGGCCTGGTGGATTAGTCAGGTGCATGTTGTGATCCTCAGTGAATCTTATCCTGATTTTGAAATTGCCATCTGTGTTTACCTCTTGCAGCCCCTCATCACCTTGGAGAACAGCATCTCATATGTCTTCGCTGTGGAGGGGATGAACACTGTCACTGTGCAGGTTTCTGCGGGCAACACCCTCATCCAAGACACCAAGGAGATCGCAGTGCATGGTACCCTCACCCTTTCACAGTCACATCTCAGGGGGTGTCTAGATGTGAAGAACAGACAGTCACTGCTAAACCAAAACAAACTCTCCGAACTCCCTAGTGCCTGGAGGAATCATTGAAGACAAACTGAAAACAAAGTAGCTCAGATGTGTAATGATCACAAAGTACAGATGTGAATTGGATGGGGCAGCTAGCCAAATCTGTAAGCACAGCACTATAATAAAGTGGCTGGTGTCTTCTTTGCCTGCTGGTCTGGGAATATACACCCTGGTGTACGCCCTATGCACCCTGACTGGGAACTCCCAAAAGAAAAAAAAGACATTAGGGCTGTAGCTAGACTTACTTCCCTCTGCTTCCTAGCTGTGGAAAGAAGTAGTCATAGTGCATCATTAAGGTGGCCTGAATACAGCTGGAGTTTCTCTGTATGCTGTGACTGTATAAATGCCAAGTGTCTGGAGTGGTCTGGAAAACAGGAGGTTGAAATTAATCTTGTTGATATCTCTGCCCATCTTCCATGCTATAGCTGGAGGTCTGAGTCTGTCCATCTGTCTAGTGGACTTCCCTGTAGGTAATGTTTGGTATGTTCTTGCTATATCTGCATGTCATGGGCTCCAGAAAGCACCCTTTGGCAGACCACAGAGCTTACCCAGTTTGGGGCTTGATAAAAGCTGAGTGGAAGGGCTCTCTCAGCAGTTTTGGACAGGACTTTGAGATTTTTCCAGAGAATAATTTCCACCCTGGGCGAGTCTTCATTTTCCTTATCCAGTTATTGGCATCCAGCATTTGAGGGCAAGCTTTTCTTTGGATAACAAGTTTAATTGAGACCTGGGCTTCAAATAACTCAACCGTGTAGTTGATCTATGTGTGTCTTGTTTCAGTAATTAAATATAAATAAATGTCCTGGTGGTGACTGGAAAGCTGTATGCTCAGTTTTAACAACCAGCTAAATAGATATTTGTTGATTGCCTGTCTATGAAATGCAATGGGTTTTAACAATGTTAATATGATTTAGTAATACCCAGACTCGCTATTAGCAAATGTAAGTAACCCTCTACTTGATCATTTTGAACGTTGCAAAATGCAGAGTTTGCTTCTGGGAAACTTGCACCTTTCTGCTAGTTTCTGGAATAAACCTGAATTAAGCGTATCTGAGAGCAGTCCCCCACAGATGATCTCAATCTTTGGTCCTGGTAGATCCCACAGAGCACTCCTCACTCTTCTTTTTTGTACACCTTGTAAGAAATTTTTCCACTGTATTTAAAAGATCCGAAGCTTTGGGCTTTATCACAAAGAGAAATTGATCCAGTTGTAATGTCTTAGGCAGTGCCATGCTGCAGACTGACCTGGTCTAAGGAAGGAGTCCTTCCAGACCCACAGACTGGTGATCATTTCAAGTCTGAGTACATAAACGAGTTGACATCTTTGGTAAACATGCACTCTGCTAAATTTATATACTAACCTGTGTCCTGTGCTAAGTTACTATGGCTCTAGGCAGAAGGGCATGGCTTTCTGGTGTTGGCAGTGGAGGAGATTTATTCAGGATTTTCTCAAATTGTGATTAACAGACCAGAATTTACTCAAAAATTAAATTGTACATGTTACTGAGGGTTCAAAAGTCAAAGGCTTTATATATCAGGGTTTAAGCCTTCAAAACTTGAAAGAGTTTCCCTACTCTTTGATGCTTGTTTTATTTAAAAATGTACTGCAGTATCTAAAAAGAAATACTAGATCTTGCAAAAGATGCAACATAAATGCTGTGCTGGCACATCCTTGCTATTCTGTGGATTTCCTTATTTATACTCCTACTGGTTTATCTTGATGTAAAACTGGTACCTTCTTACAAATGATTAATGGTACTTATTTGAAGTGTCTGGAGATCAGGTGCTTCAAGGTGAGGCACAGCACATCTCCAAAACCAGAAAGGAGAGTCTTCTATCCTTAGAACTTACATCTGAGTGTGATTCCCATCCTGGATCTGTGCCTCCTGCTGCGCACTGTTGTCATAAGGATTCTAGGCTTGGTCTCTGATGACACCAGAGGGGAGACTTGGAATTGGAGAAAAAAAAAAAATCAAAAAAAAATCTGTATTTTAATTCTAGGAAGTTTTTCTTTCTCCCTGTAATCAGTCAATTATAAAGTAATTTCAAAGTGTTTCATGAATAGCCATTGCTTGATTAGCCAGTCATTAGCACCACTGGGTTTTGATTTGCTGGGGTATTAACCACCCATGGCTTCCCTCCAGGAGAGCAAACAGATAATACCTGCTTTTGAAAACATTACTTACCATAAGTATTTGTTCTGCAGAGCACAGTGTGTGCAATTGCTTGGACTTTCCAAATTTCAGCCAGATGTCACTTTATTTACTGGTCAACTTCCTTGTAAGCAGAATCTGATGAAGTCAAGTGGCAAAATTACAAAGCCTAGAGGCATCATGAAGAGAAGACATCCTCTCACCTCTCTCATTCTTGCTTGCATTTCTTCTGGGAAAAGCCACAAGTTGGCATTAGGGCAAAAGGTCCTTTATAAGAACCTTTATAAGAATTCCTTCCTTGCAAGCTTTCTGTCCTGCTTAGTGTTAGCCAGCCTTTTTTTTTCATTCCACCTTTCCTCTCTCTCTTGCTTTAAGATAATTTATGGTCTTCCTGTTGTATTCTGCACCCTTGGCTGTACCCTGAACAGGCCTGTTTAATCTTCTCATAAATACTGTTTTTCTATTCCAGAGTATTTCCAATCTCAGCTCCTGTCATTTTCTCCCAACTTGGACTATCATAATCCTGACATCCCTGAATGGAGACAAGACATTGGCAAAGTCATCAAGAGAGCTCTAGCACAGGTGAGTATCTGTTTCCTTGTTGGTACTAAAATTGACTAGGCTTTTAAAACATGTGCTTTTTCAACATGCTAGCTTAAAAGAATGGAAGAGAACAGCAGTAATGAAGCTATCACTTTAAATTGATAAAAAGCTTCTTAATGTGCTGGATCTTTTTACAGAGGTAAACTATATTAGGAATTTTGTGGAAATATTATAATTACTTTTATTAATGTTTCTGTGGTGCCTTTTAGCTTTTAATACCCCCGAGGACTTTACCAATTCTAGATTGTAATAGTATCATTATTATTCTTATTTTGCCAAATTGATATTACAGTATCTACTCCAAATGTTTGGGTAGGGTTACTGTGTGTTGTTAAACAGCTGATCCACTTAATCCCAGGAGACAGACATTGCAGGATATCGGATGCATGAGGAAGATATTTTTGCCTCATCCTGATACTTGGTCTTCTAATGGAGCTAAGTGTAGCAACTGTTGAACGCTATAAAGCTCTACTCCCTTTCCAATTGGGGCAAAAATTGAGGATTCAGAGAGAAAATAAATTTACTTTTAAAATACAGGACAAAGAGAGACTTCTATGGTTGGCAGATATTGAATCTTCCTCTGAGATTAATTAGAATATGTAAACTAGCACTCATATTCTTGCAGGAAAGGGGGACAGAATAATTTATTACATCAAATATCCAGGAATTTTGGTTTTGTGTGAAATCAGGAGATAGATTTAAGCAAGGTTTTGTGTTTTTTACATTCTGACAAAAATGTATTTTACTTTTTTTTTTCCTTTATCTACAGCTGTTCTTAGAAATTGAAGCAGATTATTTTCACAGGGAAAGTACATTCCTGATCAGCTTTTCTCATCTGCAGCCCACTCAAAGTTTGCAGTTTATAAGAATTTCCTTTATTGTTTTCCCATCCTGAGAAAACACTAAGCTCACTTGTTTAAACTGTTGTTCCCTCTTACTGTATTCAGAGTCAAGCTTGCAGAAAAAATAAATTAATTGGGTGGTAACTATCAGTGGTTACAGACAATATTAGAAATGATGTAGAAGTGCTTGCTTGTATTATACCCTTTTGTAACTATTTGGTTGCAGCCTTTGGTCTATGCTTATAGGACAAATCACCAAGATTGGGCTGCCCCGTTGATACATTTCAGTTCAGGAATGAGACCAAGGAGCTTGAGGTGGGGTAGGACCAGGCAGCTAATGGGATTAGCCTCATCTAGCAGACAGTTGCTGGGGGAGGAGAGCTTTCCTGCGCTAATGAGGATGCACATTTTGGATTTGGAGAGAAAGAGCAGTAGCCTCAGTGAGCGGGTCGTGCTGAAGACAGTTGTGAGAGTCAGATGTGGAACTGACTCTTGGTTCAGCAAACTGAGCAGTTCCTAGCAGAGCTCTCCCAATTAGCCCCAGTAGTAAAAAGTTTTCCACTGGAGACATCAAGTGGTTCATATATGGCAAATGTGGATCCCCTTAACCTAATATTAGAAGATGATTGCAGGTAATTTTCTTCATATGTCCCTGTTAGGTGTACACTTACCAGGAGTCTGAGACAGACTCTCTAGATCTGACTTCAAGTCATTCTTTTGTAACCAGAAGGACTATGTAAAAAACTCAGATCTGGAGACATGGCAGGTTTGAACTTTAGATTATGATCTTTGGGTCTAGGGTGTTGTCAAGCCTACATTTACTTCTAGAAATGAAGTAGAATGAATCATTAGCAGAACCTGTATTTTTGACCCACCAAAATGGGCAGAATAGCTCATTAAGACCACAACACCTACACTGGAACTGGCAAATGACAAATTGATGGGAGCACAGTTTCCTGTAGAGAATGGAAACATCAGTAACAGAATAGCAGCTAGAGACCTCCTTTTTACTTTTCTTTCAGGTGACTGGTATCCCTGATGAACAGATCTTGGTAGCTGTATTTCCTGGGCTGCCTACTTCTGCTGAACTCTTCATACTGCCCCATAAAAACACAACAGAGAGGAGGAAAAGCAGTGAGGCTGATCTGGAGCAAGTAAGCAAAGAAGGATTCATGAAACATTCATTCCTATCATACCATTTACAGATGGGTCCCTTAACTTGTGCAGCATTGGAAATGACTTACAATAAGTGTGATGGAACTGGATGCATATGGGACTGTAGCAGTATAGTTTATAGCATTAAAGAAAATGATTTTCAGAGGAAAAATGGGCTCTTCTAATACCTCACTGAGATGTGTCACAGTCTACCAGCAATGGTTCTTCCTAGATCAGTGGTGTGTCCTTATTACAGTAGTTATGGCCAAAGGAAACTTGAATATGTACTCTCTCTACTCCCTAGAGGAATGCTAGTAGACAGAGGCCAAAGCAGCAAGATAATATACTAAGGTTTACTAAAAATAAATCAGGCTCTTCAGCTTGTATATCACTGGAACAAGACCTCTTTTTTTCTGCAGCAGTGAATGGCATCTGCAAACTATATTTGGAAGTTACAATATCCATCCATTTAGATAAAAAGGTAATTACAGTGATGAATAGCAACAGCGATATTCAGGCAAGGGAAGAGTTAGGAACAACAGCACTAGTCTTCTGAAGCTTTCATGCTACAATTACCAAGTGATTAAATCAGCTCTTTAAAGGCAAAGGATTGAAGGCAGCTGGAGAGGCTGCTTAGCTCTAGCTAATGTTCTTGTATGCAGCATTTTTACTTTGTGCAAGCTATGTGTGAGCCCATCTCCAAGTAACTCTTAGAGGAGTAACTCTTCTGTGGTCAAGCATTAAATAATTCAGAGGACTGCTGAATTCTGTGGAAGCTCTTGTCACCAACTGAGCAAAGTCAGTCCCCTCTGAGTACTACGTTTGTCCTAGGAAGCTAGCAAAGCTGGCCTCTGAAATTTATGATTTAAGAAGAAATGCATTGAGGTTGGAAGGTTTGGAAGGCTTTTTGGAGGGATTTTCTTGGAGTCATTTCCATCCTGTTCGGTAGGATCTACCCATATCAGAATTCCCTCCGAACAGGCTGTTGTGTCAGTATTTCATATATCAGTATTATGTAAACATTTCAGACTAGGTTTCTGACTAGCTAACCATGAGGCCTGAAGCTCTAGTGCTCTCATTTTATTTGACAGTCTACTCAGTTGTACTTTGGCACCCATTGTTGGCTTCTGCTTGAGGATCTCTGCCCTGGAGAGTAGGCCATCCGAACTACTCAGTAACTGTGCCCTGACTACCAGAACTACTCTAGGGAGGCCAGGCATTAACAAACTCAGGCTCTAGTGTGACATGCCAAGTATGTGCTCTGAAGCAACCAAATAATGCATCATAGCTGGGTTGCTGAGCCATGAGTAAACTCCAGTCCAAGGTCTCTCTTCTAAATGAAGGAGAAATATGTCAAGTTTGCCATTAATCTTCGAAATTGGATTGTGTCATCCCCAACAGACTATTTAAATGGGAACTGCATGAGTAGGATTGTCCTGAATCAATGTGAGTAAAGAAATGTTACTAGTCTGGACTGCCTAACTCTATTCCATCATCCACCAATGAAACGCCAGTGTTTCAGTGATTTCCAAGTGCATTGGATCAAACTCACAGTATATTGTGGAGGCTGAAAGGATCCTTAGTTTTTTTCTCTCCTTCCCTATCCCCCCAAAAAAGAAAAAAAAAAGTCGCTAACTTTCTTGGTTTGCTTCCCAGGAGAGGTATAACAACACATTTCTTGAGTCTGAAAA